TATGTCAGATTAAATCGCTAGCAAATGTGGATTTGAATAATCATTGATATTAATTCATTGAATCTACAAGAATATTCAACAGAATGCAGAAACCACGGCCGTTTCGTCCTGTTTGGGACTCCACAGCAGTGCGCATTCTACTACCATGAATCCAAACCGTTACGATACAACGCAAGCGTCATACCACGGGACCAATGAGTTTCTGTGATGACGAAGGAAGTAACTAGACTCAATATAGCACAGCTACTCACTAAACGAAACGGCCGTCCAATGTTTTCTGTATTCTGTAAAGGATTCTTCCAGACTCGATGAATCAATATATATATATATATATATATATATATATAATCATTTATTCGAAAATTATAATATAAAAATGTTATAAAATCACTACAAAATAGCCATTTTGTTTCAAGACTTCTGGTGTCTTATCAAGTGATGACGTTGAATATAAAATAAAGGGTTTTAAAAGGTTCAAATCAATCAAGCACCCCTCGCAAGGGGAAACGCTGTTACATAAGTTGGAATGACCAATCAAAATACAAGTATGTGAGAATTCAAAAACTTGACGACGGACTAAGGTTAAATAATTATTTAATGTTTAATGTTGGGGTTAGACTAAAATAGAATAATTATTTAATGCTTTAAAAATTGGGGTTAGACTAAAATAATGAATTCAATTTATTTATTAAAAGACATTTTAACTAATAAATATTAAATGCCGGTAAATGTTATTTAATACTGTTTATCATAAACAGAGCATTTGCTTAAATACTTGTATCTATAAATAACAACGTTAAACATAAAAATGTCTTTAATATATATATATGTATATATATATATATGTGTGTGTGCGCACGCGCGTGTTTGTGTGCATGACTAGTGTACTTGAATATATCTACTACGTTGCCGAGCTGCAAAAACAGATTTCGGGATAAATTAATCAGTTGTCTCAAGATGTACTTAAAAGCGAATACATTCATTATAATTTATTCCCATTAATTTGCAATAAAGCTTAAACAGTGATTTGAAACGGTTGACATAAGGAAAATATCCACTGAATAAAAAAATGCTGTATAAACTCGCTTTAAATTTAACAACGATAATTTAAAATGAATGAAGTTCAGATTTGTAAGGTTTCAGTTCGAAATATCTTTTTGTGTTGTTGTTTATTTGCTGGCGTAATTGCTAAATCGTGGTCGAGATTTCAGTTCTTCTTTTTTGCTTTGCTTACCAGCAAGGGCCGGATTCCTGAGGAAAGAAATCAAAAGGTAAATAAATGACATATATTTTGACTGAGGATTTCATTTTCTTGTATCTTTTTTGTTTATTTCCAGTCTATTTGAATTATTTCTATTGAGCAAAACATGATTGTTTGTCTATACACATCGGTTGTAGATAAGCGTTAGGCCTGGTGTCATTTGGCAAAATGTTTGAATTTCGTAAACAGAACTCATGACAATCTACAATGTGTGCCTTAATGAAAATTATATACAATTTATAGAAAATATATATGATAAAAATGCTGCAATAATTCGATGACATAAAGTTAGAATAATGTTTGGAAAGAGAGCGAGAAAAAAGGATACGATTTTGATTAAATTCATTACAAAAGGCTTTGAAAATATTTTCCGGAAAATGAACTTGAGAAGAAATTGAGTGATTCATTCATTTTGTACGGTTTATCAACCGATTGCAGGTTAATTAAAGACAGAAAAATTTGTCAGATTTCAAGAAGTTTTCTTTTTTGAAGATAATAATGGTTTAGTGATGCAAGTCTTACTAATTAACCCATAGCGGGGGGGGAGAAGAGGTAGTCTCATAACTAATCAGAATTTGATAAACAAAAAAGAAATTGTAATGTGGATATAAAGTGGAAGATCGATTTTACATTACAATCAGTATATAAACTGATCCCTCACTTTGTGTCCACTAAGTCTATACATTTATATTTCAGAAAATGTAAATAAATTAAAAGACATGTCTGTGTAGCTAATCAGTATTTCATTGATTGATTGATTTGTTTTCTACGGCTTATCAACTTCCTGCAGGTTATTTAAAGCCTGCAAATATTTTTTTTAGATTGTAAGATAGTTTTTTAGAGATAATAATGATTTAGTGATACAAGTGTTACTAATTAATCTATAAATAGGGGGAGGCGAATTCATACCTTTCCCAAGTGTATATGCATAATTCTAATCCAAAGTACATTGCCAGTTGATTTAAAAAGAAAAGTATAGGAAGATATGTCAGCTGCAGGTTTAAAATACGAAAGCAAATGAAATAAACTTCGAAAAACTCACCGATCAATGAAAAGAATAATGCTTGAAACAAGTCTAAGGGATCAAAAGAAGTTGTAGTGAACAAAAAGAAGATCTAGATTTAAAATTCAAATGCTAAGCACTGACTCATTGATTTTGTTAGAAATTAAAAAGACTCGAATTTACAAACTTTGCTTAACACACACGCAAAAGTGAATCCAAAACAAAACTCGTGAAATTTCACACCTTGATGCGAAATGTTTTTAGGCCAATAGAAAACTAGGAAATATTTAAAAACAAAATTCAAATAATCTTCAATTCTCAGAAACAAAATTCTTTTACGGACCTTTTCGCGAGCAGACGTGAAGTTTGTTCGTCGTCCAATGGAAAAACCCGAATCATATCCGGGAGTGAATTCCCAAATGATCTTTTCAAGCCCCACAAACAAAATAAAAGACGGGCAAGTTCGCCTGTCACCAGAGAGAAAGAGACAAGCGTATTAACACGTCCCTTGACAAACGTCAAGTGATCGTTATTATTATCTACCTTTCTCCCTCACCTCTTTTATTCTTGATAAACGAACGGAACAATTTAAGACTGAGCGATTATTTCAAATACATTCCTACCCTACGATAACACTCATACATACATACATACATACATACATACATACATACATACGTCCCTGCCTACGTACACATAAACTCATTCTTGCAAGGACTACTATGGATTTTTTGACAAACTTGTATCAGCGAAAATACATTAATTTTATTTGTAGAGACCTTAATTGATTTATATATATATAAATTTGTTGTTTCACTTTGCAATTTGATTTTCTTGATTCATATCCCACTCATGGTAGGCTATCTAACAAGGCCAAATCAAACTAATCTGTTTCAACACTCATACATTTCACTATAACTGATAACCCACTATAGAGTTAATTTGGATCAGAGAATAGACCAAAATAAATGATCTCATAGAAAGTGACATGTCGGCGGGATATATGGCAAGAAGAGACTATTGCAGATGGAGCGAAATGTTGGTCGAGTGCTTTCCAGTAAATAAATAATCTGTGATTTTATCCTATTTTTATAACAAAATAAAAACAATCGCTGAGTCTTTTTTGTTTACAATATCTTGACGTATTCGTCAATTGTGTCAAAATTGGCCGATTCTAATAAAACCCGACGAAACAAGAATCAGTTGCAAACAAGTAGAATGATGTCTGTTGAGTGCGCATGCGTATGAATCAAAAGAAAAGCAAACAATGACAATTGAAAAAAAAAGTACATTTCTATCGGAAAGACGTTAGGTGTATTATTTTGCATAACTATTGCAGCAATACTTAGAGCAACACTTCAAGTCTGCTGGATGCAACATAAACTTGAGAAAGGCACGAAAGCACATCAATCAAAACGACGGGGAAGGATTATGAAGATAAGGATGTTATACCCAAGAATTCATAAAATAAGCAGACTGCTTTACTTCACAATCACAGGGCTTTACCAAAAATTTAACCAAAACGATAAAGATAGGGAATGCACTGAAAATAAATCATGGAATAATCACTATTATTACATGTAAAATTTTTAAACGATGCTTAGGAAGGCTGGAGAGTGTATCGACCGAAATAAAAATAATAACGAAAAAAAAGTATAACGTCTGTTTTCAAAATCTTTAAAGAAAAGAATCTATACATATCTTCCCGTAAAAGATATAAAGTCATAACCTTTCGTGAATTTTCAATTGGTAAGTTCTCTTACTTATACTTTTTTTGTTTTTTGCTTTTAATCATCCCCCCAAGCAAAGTGGGAATGCCACTACTGCGCAAGGGGGGGGGTTACAAACAGTGAAAATGAGAAAAAAAAGACTGAGTATAGGGAGTATTGAGGAAAGTATAAAAGATGAACGGTATTCAAAAAGATATAAGATGGTGATTGACGTTGCATTTAAATTTTTGGAGATTGTAGTTATCAGGAAAGCAAGTAAACGGAAGGGAATTCCACAGGTGAGAAGTCCGAGAAAAGAAACTCTTAAAGTAGAAGTAGTGGTTGCATATAGCTATTTCAACAGTAAAACGGTGGGACCTAGATGCCAATCTAGTAGCACGCTTAAATTCATGTAGTCCGGGTACCAGTGGGGGGGGGGGGCTCGTCAGAGGAGTTGCCATGAAAATATTTGTGGAAAAGACAGAGGGAAGCCAAGCCATGTCGGTGGGAAATTGAGTGAAGACGAGATGCGAAGTCAGGATCGATTACGTTACAGATCGTTCTTTCGATTTTGTCAAGAATCTCGCGATGTACACCAGGAGCCCGAAACCAAATATGGCAACAGTATTCAATGCACGAACGAATGGAAAATTTGTAAACGTGTAAGATGGATTCCGACGAGGAAAATCTTCTGGTATGACACAATGATCCAAATGTCCTTGCAATAGATGTAGCTATTGATTCGATGGAGTCGTTCCACTTCAAATCAATGGAAAACGTGAGGACAAGTAGGCGCAGCGTGTTGCTCTCCTGGAATCTAGCGTCAGGCATGCGGATGACAGACAGAAAAGGTTCTCTATGGTGGCTAAAGCAGTTTTGTTTTGGATGCGTTAAAATCTACAAGCTATGTCTTGCCCCAGTTAGGAAAGAGAAAATAATTAGAAAAAAGAAATAAACAAACAAAAAGAAAGAAAGAAGGGAAGAAAGAAAAAGGCTAAAATAAACAGAGAGATCCAAAACAGTGATATTAGAAGAAAGAAAGAAAGAAAGAAAGAAAGAAAGAAAAAAGAAAGAAAGAAGCTAAGAAAAAGGCCCTAAAAGAGATCCTTTTCAAGAGCAATTGCCATATTTACTTTGTCAGATATGACGGATTTTCTATTGGGACAGGAGTAAATGGTAGTGTCATCTGCATAAGTAACTCCCTGGAAACTGATGATATCAGGGATATCTTAAAAGAAAATCAGAAATAGCGTATGGACCTGGATAGAGCGTTGGGGGACGCCCGTGTTTGGGATAAACGGCCTGGAATGGAGCCCGTTCAAAACGACATTCATTTCTCGTTTTGATAGAAACGGTTGGATTAAATCAAATATTCGTCCTGTGACACCGTAGACCTGTAACTTTATTTATTGTTCGTGTCCAACCTGGCCTCAACAAACAAACAAAAAAAACGAAACAGAAGATATCTACCAAGAAACTCACAGGACATTGCCAATGAGCCCAATCCTCATGTTTTCACCCACATATGTAGCCCTATACCAAATCGAAATCATCGAAGTAAAAGTATAGTTTTGGGAAATTAATCAATAACTATTTTATCAATATCTGTTTATTTTGTGTTTTTATTAAAAAAAAAACAACAAAAAAAACAATGGCTGCTTTATAAATAACTCAATTGTGATTAAAAACAATTTATCTTTGCTGGAATGTTATATCTGCCAATGATTATGCATTCATTCGAAATAATTTCCATAAATATATTTTTATCCCTGCTTATTTTTTATTTATAGTTTGACTTTAATTCTGAATCATTTTTATGTGTTTAACTGTTTTTTTTTCTTATTCAAACAATTTAAGAATATAAAGAGTTTTTTTCTTTATTTCTAGAGTTATTTTCCTGTCACAATCAATATGAATAACTCAATGTAGCAAATAATCAATGTTTAATATTCTATAGCGATGATACTTATGGAATCAAACAAAAATACATTTATTCTTTCATTTAATTTCTTTTTCCTTTAAGCGTCATCTTGTTTATCTCCCTTGATTCGATGAAGGCAAGATGGTGCTGTCCGACGTGTCAAAATCCACAGAACAATGATCCCAGGCCTACGACTCAGAGCTCTGCAAAGATTATAGCCTAAATATGCGGAATTAATAAAAGCGAATCATTTTGCTAGGAACAAATTCTTTGCACGCCTAGGATTCTTTATAACACTTTCCATTTCGGTCTGTCCGTGAATTTCCTTTCCCTTTTTATTCTACTTGTTCTCTTGAATTTCAAGCGACGTGCCTTTTAGATGGAATCGAGTATCGATTACTGGATGATCGAGGTCTGCAGTCGGTCGCCCGACGTTGAATAATCAATGAAAATATTCTTCCTGTCCCGGCGCCTTGTCTACAGAAACGGAAAGGACGAGTAGAATATGGCCAAAGCTATGACTTTTTCTCAGCTGAGGCCAGACCGGACGAGAACGGAAAGAAGTGAAAGAATTTAATACCCGTTGATGTAGAAATTAAGTGAAAGAAAGAAAGAAAGAAAGAAAGAAAGAAAGAAAGAAAGAAAGAAAGAAAGAAAGAAAGAAAGAAAGAAAGGAAGGAAGAAAGAAAGAAAGAAAGAAAGAAAGAAAGAAAGAAAGAAAGAAAGAAAGAAAGGAAGGAAGAAAAGGGATAAAAGTAACGAGCAGAAAGACGCAAAAAGGTTAACAAAGAAAGAAAGAAAAGATAAAAGAATGAAGCTAACAAAAAATCATCGGAAAGGCTGAAAGAAACAAACAAAAAAACCCTAAAAGAAAGATAATAAAAATAAATGAAAGAAACAATAAAGAAAGAAAGAAAGAAAGAAGCTAACAAAAAGGCCTTAAAAGAGAAATAATAAAAAAGAAACAAACAAAAAAGAAAGAAAGAAGGGAAGAAAGAAAAAGGGCTAAAATAAACAAACAGAAAGACCCAAAGATGTCATATCAGAAGAAAGAAAGAAAGAAAGAAAGAAAGAAAGAAAGGAAGGAAGAAAGAAAGAAAGAAAAGGACTGAAAAAAAACCCCAGAAAACCCAAAGCAATGATACTGACAAAAAGAAAGAAAGAAATAAAGAAAGAAAGAATGAATGAAAATAGCCAAAAGGTGTTAAAAGAAAGAAAGAAAGGAAGAAAGAAAAGGACTGAAAAAACCCCAGAAAACTCAAAACAATGATACTGACAGAAAGAAAGAAAGAAAGAAAGAACGAAAATAGCCAAAAGGTGTTAAAAGAAAGAAAGAAAGAAAGAAAGGAAGAAAGAAAAGGACTGAAAAAAACCCCAGAAAAGCCAAAGCAATGATACTGACAGAAAGAAAGAAAGAAAGAAAGAAAGAAAGAAAGAAAGAACGAAAATAAAAAAAAAAGAAAAAAAAAGAAAGAAAAAAGAAAGAAAGAAAGAAAGAAAGAAAGAAAGAAAGAAAAGGACTGAAAAAAAACCCAGAAAAGCCAAAGCAATGATACTGACAGAAAGAAAGAAAGAAAGAAAGAAAGAAAGAAAGAAAGAAAGAAAAGGGTTAAAAGAAACAAACAGAAAGAAAGAAAAAAAAGAATGAAAGAAACTTACGCTCTTAAAATATCGATATTCCGTTGAATGTTTAATGTTTTTTTATGCTTTGCTCCTAACATTAAACTGTGAATATCGAAACACTGGCGGTGGTGCATGGTGGTGGTGGTGGTGGTGGTGGTGGTGGTTTTGGTGGTTGAGGATAAAAAGAGAAGAAAAGAGAGAATTGTTAAATATTTTATGTGAATCTGTCAATCTGGGCGGAGGAAATGTATTTCTGGGCCACGACAGCAAAATTACGATTCCTTAAAATGCTTCCATCAATTGTGATTAAGAATCAGAAAAATACCTTTAATTTGTCGAGGTGACCAGATCTCGATTGATTTTTATTGGCTGTACTTTTATTATTACAAAAACAATTACAAGTTACTAGAATAAATCCCCTTAAAATAAAACTCGACAGACTTGCAAGAGTAACAAAAAAATATTACAATAGCAGATTATTACATTAAAAAGGATCTGAAATTATTGAAATTTTTCACTTCTCTTCAGCAGAACAATTCCTTAACTTCTTTAATCCGTTAAGCCGCATGCAAGCTGTATAGTCACGTGGAAGGATTAGGAACAGAAACATTGCTAATAAGCAGGAAGAGTAAAGAGTAATCAGGGGGACAGTACATAGCGATTGGCATTGCATTTAAATCTTTGCAGATTAAAGTTGACTGGAAAGCATGGAGCCGGAAAGGAGTTCCACACGCGAGAACTGCGAGAAATGTTAGCATAGAATGTACGGCTAGATCTAGCCAGCTCAACTGTCATGAGATCTCGACGCTTGTCAGTACTGAGCTTAAAATCATGAAGTCTAGGTACCATAGGCAAGAGCGATATTTATTTGTAAATATTTACAAATTGTGGCACAAGGTCAAAATGAGAAATGGTGAAAAGGACGGTCTTCTTCTCTCTTAAACATTAAACTTATCTAGCCACAAACACTGATCCAAACATACCACAATATTCATAACACCAAAACAACACTTTCTTAACTTACTTTTCTTACTACATTCACCATAATACCTCATTGTCTCTATGAAAGTCCTAAATAGTCCCCATATGTACAATTCATTATCTGTGAGGGGAGGGGAATAAAACATCAATTTAAAAAAAAAAAAACTAGCCCCAATGAGTATTTACAATATGAAAACAAACTCTTTACAAGAAACCAAATAAAATAATATTAGATATAAGACCCCCCACAAACCTTAAATGTGGCAAAAACATCAGTTAACTGGACGAAATCAATTCTGGATTTGAATAATATAAAACATTCATTCATCCCAAGTATTCACTCATTCAAGCACGAAAAACACGCGAAACGAAAGACGCCCCGCATCCATCAGAGAACTGACATCACTGATCAATTAATGAGGGAGGTGATGGGGAATTAAAGTAAAGGAAAATAGGGACAGAAATACAAAGGGGCAAAGGCGAAGAGATCATCCAAACAATTAGCATGAAAGTATTTATAGAAAAGACACAGAGAGACAACCTGACCACAGTGTGAAAGTGACTAAGGCCCCCCAGCCAATCGCTATCTAATATCCTCCTGATTACTCTTTCCTCTTCCTGCTTATTAGCAATGTTTCTGTTCCTAATTCTTCCACATCCTGTAACCCTTTGTATTTTAATGACTATACAGCTTGTATGCGGCGAAACTGGTTAAAAAAGTTAAGGAATTGTTCCGCTGAATAATAATATTGCTGATTCTTCTTTGGAATTTATCAAAAAGCTCAACGTAAATAGCAGGGGCGCCGGACCATATGTAGCAGCAATATTCTAAGTACAAACGAATTGGTTTTATTGCATTCATTTTCTTAGGGAAACAATTGAATCCTGTATACTATATTAAATGAATCATATGTACATTGTAGATATACATATTTATTTTTACACTTATAATTTCTTTCTTTGCTTTATCTACAGTGTCAATTGCCTTCTGGTATGTGAAAGACCAAGAAAAGTATGATTAGAATTTCCCAGAGATTAAAACGCATTCAAATTTCAAATTATTCTTCATTTAAATTCAGAGTTTCTCTTTTCTTAACACCTTAACTAAGTCATAAGACATTCATATTTACACGGACATTGTTTGCGCCAACAATTTCAAATTACTATGATTTCGTTTTATCTCACTCTTGAATATGTACGTGGGCCGCTGAAAAAGTAATATGTTCTATTTATTTATACTATTTAAATTGTTCGGACTGTTGTCCTCATCTTTATTGTCATATTCACGACGTTTCCGCCGTTATACGCTCCGGCCTTCTTCTGATGTTGGAATTTCAAACCGAACTCTTTATTTAGTTCACTGGGGGAGATTGTTCTTGTGCCACGTGCCATGCAATTCCTGGATATCTCAGTTTTACTTAATTCTCTTTAGTAACTCAGCTCTCCAAGTGTTTGTTCACCTCTACTGTAGCCAGGTATTGAACTCATAAGTCTTTGGGTCAAGTCACTGGATTTCTTCAACCAACGCTTTTATCCACCGAACCATGTAAAAAAAAAAAAAAGAAATCACAGATATTTTACATAGGCAAAAAAATTTCGTACGGTGTGTGCTGAACTTGTGCGAACAATTTTTTGTATTTCGTTCAGGTATGAGCTTCCAGGGATCCCTTGAAGGAGTCTATTGGAATATTTTCCAATCAATCCGAGAGCTCCAACTACAACTGAAATTGCAGATGTCCTCAAGGGCCACATATTTTAGATTTTTATTATTATTATTATTATTATTATTATTATTTCTTGGACACTACCTACCTAAGTTAAAGACCTAAGGCAGGTCGTGGTGTGTTGTTATTTCATGTTATTTTTTTTTTTTTTTTTTTTTATATCTCCGATGAAGTTGCTAGCGTTACATAGACAAAGTTCTCATTTGAAATTGTGTATATTTCTTTCCAGAGCTACTATTATTATTATCTTATTATTATTATTATTAAAAGAAATTCAACTGTTTTGTTCAACTGTTTGTCAAGTTTTTCGAGTTAACTTTTAACAGTTTTATAAATTTTATTGTAGGGATGGATTATTATAGTTGTTAAAATATTTAAATGAACTGTAGTTTAATTTAGGATTTGAATTAATGCCCAGATTAACATTTAAGATTGAAAATAAGTTTGGAAATAATAATTATAAATTCTAATTTGAAGAGATGTTGTTGGAACTGAAAGGAAAAGACGTTTGAAAATCAAGGGGGACAACTTTATTTTTTCCATGAAAATCAATTAATAATATTATATTAATATTAATATTAATAAACTAAATAAGTGTAGAGATATCGATAATAATACAATAATCGTGAAAAAATAAAATAAAAATTAAAGTACTAACAAAAATAATACATATCAATGAAAACAAAATAAGATAAAATGAAATAGAAACATGTAAATATTTAAATAAATAGGGCAAATAAAAAAGCATGTGTGTGTGTGTGTGCGTGTGAAAATGTGTGTATATAAATGTAAATAAATATATATATATATATATATATATATATATATATATATATATATATTTACATTTATATATATATATACATATATATATAATTATTTATATATTATATGCGCGGTACTTATTAGAAAGCGCTCAATATCAGAGATAGAGTTAACATATTTGGTTGATTGATGTGAGTTTGTGACCCTGGGTTTCACACTTTTGCAAAAGCGTGAGACCCAGTGTCACAAACTCACATCAATCCAACTAAATATATAGATAAACAATATATATATATATATATATATATATATATATATATATATATATATATATATATATATATTTTTATCTCATGAAGATAGTCGAGACGGTGCCGTATCTAACCGGAAAGATTACAAGTTAGCGTGACTATTTCTCCATAGATTCTTCCTGTTTGGAAAGTTGTTCTTGGCTCTCACTATTCGTATTGATTCAGTCAGCCTCAAACTGTCTTTACGGAAAAACTCTTTTTGAAATGTAATTTTGTTTGCCCTTGTTAGCAGAATATAATGAAAGTCAGAGGTCTTTAATGTATTTTCTCATTCAATGCAATACATTCGAATACTATTTCAGTTATTCATGTTTTGTTTCTTGCTTCTTTTTTTAACCAGAATTAGTTTGAAAATCAGCCAGCGATACCAAAGGTATTCAAAAATTTCAGTGCGTTGGCCATATTGTATACTTTCCGTGAATCAAAGAAAAAAGCAGTTTTGTAAATGTATAAAATTCTAATGAATGCATGGTTTCTATTAAAAACTTTTTTTTATCCTTTCTTTGTATGACATCTTCTGAACAAAAGGTAAATAAGGCAGTTATAAAGAATAAAGAGCTTGTAAAGCCCCCAAAATGACCCCTGGAGCTTAATTTAGAAAACCCTGATATATACAGTAATATGATATATATCCGGCATGGGCAACCTATTTCGAACAGTGAGCACATCAGGTACAGTACATCATAAGGCGGGACGCATTATTAAAAAAAAGATACAGCAGACACTTTTCTGCCTTAGAAATCCGGAAAGAGTCGATTTCTTTTCTTTTGAGAAATGATTCATTATAATTAAAAAAAAAAAAAATGAAATCTTGGTATATTATCCCGGATTTCGGAGCGATTAACATACATTGACGCGTGCGATATTTTTAAAATTTATTTGAAAATACAAAAATATTTGTAAAAGAGGAAGTCGATTTATTCTCTAATAAAAATAATTATCGTTGACGTTTCCTGTTTCTTAAGCAAAAGATGTTTAGCCATATGATTTTCCTTCGTGAGAATCGCCAGTGGTTTAAAATGATGAAAACGTTACCTTCAAGGAAAACTTACACAATTCAGGAAAGGTTATACTTAATCATCATTTATATATGAGATTACGCATGAGAGAATATGTGAGTGAACAAGTGAAAACGCAAAAAATAAAAAACATTTTAATAAACGTTATTTTCCTCATTAAATTAGGCGTGTAGAAAACAAATTGTGCCGCATTCGGCTATATTTGATCCGTGGGCTGCAGTTTGCCTATGACTGATATTAATAAACAACGTTTTAATCAAATGTCACGTTTAATAAAGATATATTCATTGAAAATTACCATAAAAATTTAATATCTTTTCGAAGCGCCTTACACTCAAGGGATATAATCACATTTCAAAATTGTCACTATCAAAAATAATAATTAGGAAATTTGCTTTTAATTGTGAAATGCGTGACAATACAATTCATCTTGTTCAGGGTGAATGTTCAAGTGAGACTGGATTGAAAAGACTTGAAAGATTGTTGTTTGTTTTCTATTATCGTGTTTCTTATTATTAAGTAATTTGCCATAGTAAATTGATCACTTACCTTTTGATACGCTTTTAAGGCTCGCTCTAAATCACTGTCAGCAAGGTGCACGGCAGCCATTAAGGTCAGAGTGTCGGCTACAGGTGCTGAATAGTCACCATAGACCGAACATTTTACACTCACGGTTGAACGCAATAACTTCAGGGCTTCCTGTAAATTCGAATAACAGAAAAGTTTTACAAAATTCTACATATATATATATTTATTACTTCAAACGTTATATTTAATGGATACCCGTATTTGAGTAGACGCTCCGTTTTATATAAAACAGTCTTTATTTCGTCTACTGGTTTATGCATATCCGAGAGAGCTTATAAAAGAAACTGTGTCCTCTGACACTCGAACCTGCGTCACCACCGGCACTGTTAAATCCGTCAGGCTTTAACCACTCGGACACGAAGAGCTTCCTAATCAAACAAGGTTATATTTACTCTTAAAGCACACTCACGCGTTCAGATTTTCTTCAAACGCATATTTACTCAGTTTCTTATCTGAAACGTAAACAAAGCAATTTCTAAAGAATTAATGGATTTAATTTTTCATAAGTCGACATATTATTAATTATTTCAGGCGTTATTTTTAGTGCGTACAATATTTGAGTAAACACTTTGTTTTATTTTAAATAGTATTTCTTTCGTCTACCGGCCTGCGCACCTGAGAACAACTTAAATGTGTTCTCCAGCAGGATTCAACTCTGCATATATATATATATATATAGAGAGAGAGAGAGAGGGGGAGAGAGAGTGAGAGGGGGAGAGAGAGTGAGAGGGGGAGAGAGAGTGAGAGTGAGAAAGAGAAAGTGAAAGAGAGAGAGAGAGAGTGGTGAAACACGGTGGAGTAATGGATAGCGGCTCGGTTTGAGGAATCGGAGGACCGAGTTCGAATTCCAGTCGAATCCGTTATATTCACTTACGCACCCTTGAGAAATTCGCTTGAGGATGAAATGGAACTAATGTCATTAATTTAATTGCAAAATTAAATTCGTGGCTTTTAGCTTCCATCTTTAAAACATGGTTAAAACTGTGTAGCGGAAAAAAAACATATTTTAAATCAATTAATTTATAATTTATAATATTAATGCTCTGTAAATTTACATTGAGCACTATTTTGTAAAAATAAAAATATCTATAAGAACACCGGATTATATATCTTACTGTTCTTTCTTTTTATTTAAATACATATATATATATATATATATATATATATATATATATATATATATATATATATGCCAAATAGAAAAAGTAAGCTCAGAGGGTGAGGGGGTGAGTTATTTTTCATGTCATGATAAAACGGAACATAAACAGGCCATCATTGACATTTGCAGAAAATATGTCAGCGACAAATGTATCGGAATCAAGACGACAATACTAAAAAAAAAGAAAAAAGCCTAAAAACAAACTGACCTATTCAGTAAAATGCTCAAAGCCCTGATTGCCCAGACCGATCAAAAAACGCTTAACAACGTTAAATCCTATGATAGGATAGCTCTAGTCGTAACCCGAGTTTCACGCTCACGCAATCTTCAGACGGTATATACGACGTGCATTCTCGAAATTTTGAGGGTTTTTTTTATGAGACGCAGTTATAACTGTAGTAGATTATTGTAATTTTAGCATATCATATACATCTTATAAGCTGATTGTACATCTTATAAGCTGACCTGCCAACATTTTTTATTCCAGATTGAAATTCAGCCTTGGGTGACATACTACATTCTGACTGAGAGTAGTTGATGAAGAGAAATAAAACATAACGTTAAATACGAAAGGTTCAAGCCTCGTCTCATTCGTTAATCGATACGTGTAATCAGTTAATGGGCGTTCATTTCGTTCATGAGAAAATGTTTTTGAGTTTGTTTGGATGTTAATAAGAATGAAATGAAGCCATAAGTAATTAAATTAAAAACAAAACAATGTTTGTATCGCGTTTTTCTGCTTCTAAATACGTTTCTTTCTTATCTGTTGACTAGAGTGACAAAGCAATAAATAAATTGACACGCGCCATGGCTCTGACCAGAATTGTTTACGGTGACCAACACTGGAGACTCAAAGCCAGTTATATATATATATATATATATATATATATATATATATATATATATATATGTGTGTGTGTGTGTGTGTGTGTGTGTGTGTGTGTATATATATATATATATATATATATATATATATATATATATATATATAACGGTAGCATAACTCTAAAATGGTTAGGTGCTGATTGAAAAGTCACCTCACTGGTAACTAAGCTCTTAGGTCCATTTATTATGAAGAGTTTATTCATTATTAATATAAATTATAGCTCTGTTATTATACACGAGCACTTTTTTTATTAGTACCAGCACTCAACGTGCGAGATTATATATATATATATATATATATATATATATATATATATATATATATATATATAAACATCAAAGTTCTTTTAGGATAAATAAATACCGAAACCAGACATCCATATCGAAATATTTCTGGCACTTAAAAGAAACCAATAAATCACATAGTGTGGAACGAAAATTAATAAGAAAAGCTAGAATGTGTAGGTAATTAAATGACCCATGTCCTTTGTGCATATATTAGGAACTATATATTACTGGGTTTATAAAAAATAAAAATTTACTTAATCAAAGAAATGAAATAGCTATTGTCTGCCGACATTGTCAAAAAATTTCCTTAAGTAATGTTTAAAAAAGATAGAAAAATAAAAGCTGATAAATGAAATATACATATTTATATTTAATATTTAAATAATAATTTTTAAATAATTTAAGTAATTCGATTACAATTATTTGTTTTAAAAGATGTATAGTCTATTATTAAAATTAAGAATAATATTTTAAAATTGTAATTCAATACAATGTATTCATATACAAACGACCCTTTTAGAAAAAATCTTTATGTATACAAGTATAAATTTAACATAGAAACAAAAGTGCCAAAAAACTTTTTGTCGTTGAAAAAGACCAGATGACATGTGTTGAATCGATGTCATCATTCTTTTCGAAAGTAACTCATATTTTGATACAATAGTTTACAGTGGAAAAGAATACCCTACCTCCCCTTGTTAAAATGATTGGATTTCCCCATATCCATAGAAACTAATATTATGAATGTATGTGCTTATAAAACTCAGTAAATTTCAAAATAAGTTATTCCAAAATGCGTTTGAAAATGAAACAGAACTAGGGACTTAAATTTAATTCTAATATTGAATTTGAAGTTTTTAGCTTTTGTTTTTGAAACATGGTAATTCCTGTGTAGCGATGGAACCATATTTTTAAATAAGTGACGTTATAATATTTATGCTCTGTAGATTTGCATTGAGCACTGTTTTGTAAAAATAAAAAAATTAATAAGAACATGTTAGTGAAGTGAGTTCAATTCTTACTGGAGCCTTCCTATTGTACGAAGTCTAAGTAAAGATGAATAAATATCTCTACTGGGTGCCTGCTGTAGATCTGTTATTATCGAGTCTTATTGTCTTGTGCCAGACTAAGCTAAACTTATAAATGCCAATTTGATGTTGTCTGTTACAGTATTTTGTTGGGTAACTGAAATTTCAAATACAATTCAATTTTTTTAAAAGGCGTTCGTTCATTCTGGAATCAAGCCAGACAGTTGCGTGGTACTTTTGCGCTGGTAATTGTAAAAAAAAAAATTGTAGAAGACTGGAAAATGGTGTTTAACAGCGGCAAATAGCTTACGGCAATCTCACTTACTTACCCGATGTCTGTTGGTTTGAATCAGAATCCGCGCCAATTCGTCTTGAACGGATAAAGTTTTCGGATGTTCTGGACCGTAAGTATTCGTGCAGCTGGCGAGACATTCGTTCATGTAACTTTCAGCAGACACTAAAATATTAAAAAGAAAACCAAATTTAAATGTTTAATTTTTACTCTTTGACCAGAAAATTGTAATGCTTGTCATGTTATTTTAACCTTTGTTTACCACCAGAAATAATCGCTAGATCTTAAAATATAGATATAGGAATATATATATATATATATATATATATATAGGAATGCGATTCTGGAACTGATTATATTTTTAAACGTAAGATAATCAGCTTTGCGTTTAAAAGTAAATCTTGCTAAATTTAACATTCCACGAGAATTTATTTACATGCAGCAGGAACAACCAAAGAGCATGTAGTATTATGCCCAGATACCATTTGCACTCAATTTTACACCAGATATTGAGACACTATGTGCAGGGTTGAACTGAGATCATTCTTGAGCGCTGTATGCAGACGCATGTGACTTCAAACCTGCATCTGTTTTTGCAGATGTGGAAACGATTAGTAACAGACGTACTTATATAAACAACCGTTCCGGGTGTGTTGGAAAATCTCACAAACAATCGTATATCGAGAATGTAAGGACCTATTAAACCCGGAGGCGACGAATCCGTTTCACATACACACACACAAACAGGCTGAGATTAGCGGACAAAATATTGAAGTGGAATAAAATTTACACTATTTACATTATTCGGACTATTGTCCTTATCTTTGTCGCCATATCTATTACAGAGTTTCGGCCGTTGTAATAAATATGGCGACAAAGATGAGAAAAATAGTCCGAATAATGTAAATAGTGTACATAATACCTCATCTCAGAAATATAGACAAATACTGGAATAAAATTTAATGTTAAGTGTAAAAGATTAATTCTTCGTGTAATAATTTTGCAAGAACAGCCCTTTTATCACAAGCACATCTGTCGAAATATTGTGATCAAGATAATAAATATATGCGGTATTTACTTCCACCCCCCCACTAAGTCAGGTTGTGACACAAGGTCAGTTTTTAACATGGGGACCCGAGAGTTTTTACTCGGGCCACTGGTCTTGGCTTGTCAAAGCTGGTCCAAATTAGTCAGAGCCGGTCCAAGCTAGTCAGAGCTGTGATACCTCCAGCACAGGGACGGAGCCCTGTGACCGGTAAGTATCCGAGTGCGTACACCCCATCCAAGGAGGAATTTACGCAATCAATATGACGATATATTCGATTGTGAAAAAAAAAAATCAAATGTATTAATATGAGCAAGTAGTCAACAATACAGCGTGGAACAGAGCTGATGAAAAGTTGGTCAAAACAAAATAATAAGTGTCCAATTGAGGTTAAGACGTTGACCCTAAATTAAAAATTGTTGATGCATTGTGGCCCCAACTTGGTAAGGGGGTGCTTGTAGCAATAAAGACAATGCACTTTAGTCTGGTTATTTCCCTCCGGCAGAAGTGATACTCTTTCTTTTTATTCATACACAACAATATGGCCGACACGTTACTTCCGTGTTAGATCAATGGCTGAAACGCTGCTTCCGTTTCCTTAGTTCCTTGTTACAATACATGGAATGAAAGTTCGTATCTTCTTCCGAAAACCTGTATCTTAACGGACGAACAGCTTATCGATTGCAAAAAAAAAAAAAGAAAAGAAATTGCGATGAAACGCAAAATGCATATTTTACGAAAATAAAAATGATCGCATAATTCATGAAACAATATTTCACCCCCCCACCACCACCACCACCGCATTGCAAACAATACATTGTATGCTGTATTGCTTTCTTCTTCTTCGTCTTCTTCTTCTTCTTTTCTATGTCCCGTGTCCATTCAGGACATTAGCGATCATGATTCTCCACAATTTTCCGTTCTTTGTAGCTCTTGATAATGTTTGAACTTTTAGCCATTTCTCCCAAAACTTGCTCCGCCATCCATTTACTCAAGCTCTCCAGGTCGGTTGTACGTTGGCTTCCTCTTGCCCTCTTATTTTCAATTCTTCCTGTGAGTGTCAAATTTTCCAAGCCCTCTTTCCTCGTTATGTGCCCCATAAATTTTAATTATTTCTTTCTGTTGTTAAGTATAAGTGTCATTTTTGTTGTCTCTAGTATTTCATCGTCACTCGTTGGATCCATGGCATCCTCCCAGAGAACCCCATTGCTGTACTGTACATCACCCAAATGTTTAGTCAAAACAACAACAACAACTATGACGATACTCGTCGGACAGAAGCTTTGATTAAAGACGCACTTAGGTCTCTTCAAGAGTTCATTCTGATAGTATAGAAAATTGAGTATTTTTTCTGAAAATTTTAAATGTTAGCATTCAACCTTATTCTGTTATCTTCATCGCTTTCGAGTTGTGTATTTTTTAACATTGTAACCTAATATTGTTTCGACTTTTTCAAAATCAGAACAAAGAAATACTTTTTAAACAAAAACTAAAGGCACTCCATATCATAAGTTCTTGTTTTGTCATAGAGCAACATTAATAAGAAAAAAAAGCAATTGTGACTTTGATTTGGAGGCTAAAAGCTATGTGACAAGAAAGCGTCATAAAAAAGATCAAATATGTGTGGAATGATGAAAAAAGCCCAAGAAAAGTATCTATTGACACAAAGGCAATATATGTTTTTAAAATATCGGCCATGTTAACAAAGAAAAAAAAAGCAATAAAGCAGTTTCCAGATTCTAGAACATCGAAAGTGCTCATCTCAACAGTCAATTATCGAATGACTAAAAAATCGTCTTCTACGCATAGACTTGACGCATGTTTCCGTTTATTAAATATAACAAATTATCTGTTAATAAGAACTTTTTTCTGACCAATCAGAAGCCTTCCCGTGCATATTTATTTATTTATTCTTCTTGTCACTGTGCAATGCACAGTGAAATTGGACAGCAGTCAGCGGGTGCTCCGACACACACACACACACACACACACACACACACACACACACACACACACAGCACACAAACACGCACAGCATCGAATGAAGAAAAGCAATACGTTGAAAATACTGCCAACATGCAGGTGCCCTGTTGCTGTCACCACAATTATCGTCACTCGCCGTCACTCACAGTCACCACCGCTCAACGCCTTAACTATCTACTCCAGGCCACCCTCGCCGTTACCAACATAACCCCGTTTCGTTGATACTACATTCAACCATAATTCAATTCCATTCGATCGATCAACCGTGTCTCATTGATACTACATTCTCACTATCGGACAAGCAGTCAACACGGACAGGCCGTCAACACGTGCATCAACGAAAATTTCGACTCATTTCCCTTTTTTCAGACCACAGTAGCAACATTTATCTCTTAGCACCCAACAAAAACTCGAGGTAAGAGAACGTCAGACACTTCTTGTATTTTCCAACTTAATTATCTGGACACTCATTACGTGCATCTATAAAACAACATTTTAAGAATACGAGAAAGACTGTAAAACTTATTCTTTATGTTAACATTCTGTCGACTTCCAATCCATATTTGATCTACATTTGACCCCGAACTCACAATATTTCTCAGATTTACTCATGTTTCCAACACCACAATACAACCAGATAATAAATAAGACCCGTTTTGTTGTTACCAACGCCTTGCTATTTCTCATTTTTACGAGAATTGTTGAATATATAAATGTAAGGTTGTTTATAAATATTTACTCAAAGTTATAATTCCTCGTCAATACCTTGAAAAATGTCAGCGTGCGGCAGTATTCATTTTATGTCGGCTTCAAGGATAAAAGCTGTCACTCAAGCGCTTTTTTTCTAGATCTAATTGAAATAAAAGGTCACCCTGGGGGTGGTACCCAAGATGCCTTCTGTCTTTCACTCTATGTTTCCTGCTCTGCTGCGAAAAGGAGAATTAGAAAATGTCCTCCAAATAGGGCAGCAAGCAGCCGGTCATTTTCGGGCCATTATCTTATATCCTTTGGTGGGGCTCTCTTATCCGCTGCCGAGCAGCTGACATGCCAAACAGTCTTGCAGTGTGCTAGAATACTCTCAATGGTGCAACGGTAGAAGGTCATCACCAGGTACATTTATAAATTATTATATTTTTCTGAGAATTCTAAGTAAAATATCAAACGTAGAATCTGTGATTCACGTAAATTAAATCCAAACAGCAGACAAACACCTGAAAGGATCATTAATTTTTCTCATGTTCGTCATAGAAAGATATTTCTTGGATATCTGATATCACTCACTGGACTCATGGTTAAACACCATATGCAGACGACCTGATATTTTAGTCTTTTTCACTCTCACAACTTTATGCAAAAGTTTAACTTTCTTTATCAAATGTTAGCCTGTAGACATATTAACTTTATGCAAAAATCGTACACAGATACTGTCGTAGGATGGAAAAATCTTTTCTCTATATATAAACAGAATGAATGTCTCGCCGTTTGCTAACGTAATTATTGAACCCACTATCTATAAGGCGTACAAGTAAAACCATGTTCTCACGAACATGTGTATGCAAAATTTAACTATAGATTCTTTGATTTACAGAAGTAAATTTTACGGATTTTTGTATGTGAACGTTTTGTATCGGGGTTTTGTTTTCATGATTTGATTCATGGTTTGGTCAACTAATATCTTTTTAAGTAACGAATTAGTTGATTGGGCGCTTACCGAAGCAAACATTCTTTATTTTGTACGCCTATGCACACCTGTGCCGAAAAGCTAAAAATGCATTTTAAATATTTGAAATAATTCATTTATATATATATAATAGTCTTAATTCGTCAGTAACGCTTGCCTTAGTTCCTGACAATTGACAATACATTCGTTTTTTGTTTTGATTTCTTTTTTTTTTGTTTTGTTTTTTGGATTTGTTTTTTGTTTTTTGGTGGTTTTTTTTTTGCTTTTAAAGCTTTGTAACCTTATTGCATTTACATTATGCATATAATATCCTTTGTAACGTTATTGCATTTACATTATGCATATAATATCCTTTGTAACCTTATTGCATTCACATTATGCATATAACATCCTTTGTAACCTTTTTGCATTTACATTATGCATATAACATCCTTTGTAACCTTACTGCATTTACAT